TCTGATGAAGCAATTAGAATATGAAATGAAATGAATGGAGAACCAATCACAGATCAAAAGAAGGCAGAAAAAAAAAATAAAAAGAGACGGGTGCACAACACTGTGCCACTCGTAGAAGTCAATGGTGCGACATATTTTTTCTGACACCGACAAAAATGAGAGAAACGGAATCAGAGTCTTCAGACCATTAACCCACTTACAAAGATTTCGTTTGTCTCAATTTTGGGACAGCCATTTTTTTTACATGTCTCATCTTTTTTGCAAAGATCCATGTTACTGTCCCGATTCAATTCTAATGGCTGGCCCCCCTACCTTTCCCACCCCACCAAACTCCCACCCCATTATTAGTTAAGAGTGCGATGATCCTCGGAGAGAGAAGGGTGTGAGACTAGGATTCAGGGCTTAGATTCACAATATGCTTCTACTGAAGGGAGAAAAGGGGCCAGGTAGTCAGGTTAGTCAGGAGCCCAGCAGCAGGGTGAAGAGGCCTCCTTGTGCTAAAACCATACTTGCGGCGCACCTCTGGGGTGCGCCATGGTGCGACGTGCGCCCATGGGCGATGAGCGCGCACGTGCGCACCGCGTGCACTGTGCGCACATGGGCAGCGCGCAGGGGTACTCGTGACGGGGCCCCATGCGCTCGCACTTCGGAATGTGGCCCCTTTTTCTTTTTCTTTTGTGTGTGTGTGTGTGTTAGGAGGCCCGTTGTGTCTTCTTTTTGGTATAGTGTTTCGTGTTTTCATCCAAAACAAGAAAAGAAGTCCTGATCTCAGCGAAGATGTGGGCCTCGCTCCACTACTCACGACATGTGCAAATGGAGAATGAACCCTACGGTAGAACATGGGAAGATATACCGCCATATTTTCCATCTTTTGTGCGTGTGGCGAGTAGTGGAGCGAAGCCCTTTAACGCGCATGTGAGGTTGGGCCTCACTCCACTACACACCACATGCACAAGAGACAAAAAATATGGTGGTGTATCTTCCCATGTTCTAGCAGAAGATTCATTCCACACTTGCACATGGCGTGAGTAGCGGAGCGAGGCCCTATAACGGCCATAACACTCAGGCCTGTATTTCAACAGTTCAAGGCCCGTTGGAATCTGACAGATGGGCAGTGAAGAGACAAAAAAACTTTTGTCGATGTATCTTTCAATGTTCTAGGGGCAATTCATTATGCACAGTTCGTGAGTGATGGAACGAGGGGCCTCGCTGCACTACTCTTGAAATGCACAAAAGACAAAAGTCATGTCGCTGTATCTTTCCATGTTCTAGCGGAAGATTCACTCTCGTTTTGCACCTTTCAAGAGTAGTGCAGCGAGGCCCGAGGCCCTTATCTTTCCCATTCTGGCAGAGGTAGTTGGAAAGAACCACGGATTCTGGCGGCAGGTGAGGGCTTCGCTTCAGAGCTCACCTCACCATGACTGTACGGGACTTGAAAGGGCGGGTGTATATTTCCACGTTATTGCTTTGGGCACATTCCCGTGTTGCACTTACGAATGTTCTTTGTTCCCTTTTTTTTATAGCAAATTGCCAAAAGGAAAAGGCCTGTCTGTTTTGTTGTTTTCTATTTCTAGAAATACTGAGAGCAAATGGACCGTTCCACAGAGCAGGACATTTCCTCATCATGACTGTGTCGGACCGCCGAAACGACTCGCATACTTAGAGGCTTGCCACACAGGCTGTCGAAAACCCGGTTTTCGACAATTTCGCATCGCCACACAGATTTTTTAAGAATACCAGCTCAACAAACTTTCGACAGGTGTCAGAATGGTACTTTCGACAGACGCCCTCCAGCAACCGTTTCCTCCCGCCTGCAGGTGACAGAAAAACGACAGTGCCCCGCCAACCTTTCGAAAATTGTGTTCGAATTTGTGTTGTCAGGGACTGTTCCGTCAACTTCCGTGAAACCCGTCCGCCTGGCCATGACCAAAAACCTTGCCCCTCAACAGCCTGTGTGGCGAAAGGGGGGCAAACTGTCGACCACCGACTTTCAATTTTTTTCTGACACCTGTGTGGCGAGCCTCTTAGGGCCTCGCCACACCAATGTCGAAACATCATATGTCAGGACATTTTCGACAGAAAAACCCTCTTCGCCACACAGCATGTCGAAGTGAAGAACTCACAAGTCCTATGCACAAAAGAGACAAACTGGGGTGAAGATAGGACAAGCCTTGGTGCGTTCTCTTTTTCTTTTTCTTTTTTTTTTTAGACGAGGCCGGGGACCTCACAATGCAACCCGGAGTTATCCTGGCAGCTACAGCCAGTTTCGCTTACGAGCAAAGCTCGACCACCGAAACTAACTGCTCCGTATATCTCAAACTACCTGCTGGAAACCGGGTCCAGCGTCCCATCATTAAACACTTTCCAAAAAATAAAACTTTAAAGCACAGAGAAAAAGGTGAGCTATCTGATGAAAACTAGCTCATAGATTCTCAGAGCACCTGCTGTACCCTGAAGTAGGGCCTCGATAGCCAGATACAATCTTGGATACCCATTGTCTCTCCTCTAGGCGACCTATATACCAGTCAACCGTTTTTAGCATTTAGTCTTTACAGCACATCCAAACGGTCCTGATCAGTACAATCCAGTCCGGTTCCATCTCCCACTGCTAACACGCAGCTTATTCGATTATATCCTCCCAGGCTATCCCAGCGCCTGGGGTAACGACCTTGTACCCGATCCGCTCGGGCTGATCCCTTCTTTCTTTTTTTTTTTTTTTTTGGGGGACGATGCTCCAATCTATTCGTGGCGAGCAACACGGCTGGGAACCGGGCCCAGCGTCCCTTATCAGAATACAAAAATGAGGTACCGGGGCCATTACCCGGCTTCGGTTAAGAACAATTCAAAAAAAGGAAAACTCAGAAACATTCAGAAGATGTGTGTCAACAAGCCTCCCAACCGTGACGCCCTACTGTGTTCTCAATATAACCACTGAGCCAGCCCCAGTTCGCCTTCCATGGATACACAGGCAAATTTCCCTTTGCACCATGTCTTACGGAAACTAAAGCGGTCATTTCTCCTCCAGTTTGCCAACAGCGCCAGTCTGATTCCCGCCTTGATCTGACTTCTGGATTGCTGTTTGCCAATCTCCTCTTTCCGGAAGATTTTGGCATTTCTTGCTGCCCATATTGCTTCCATTACAATGCCTCTGCAGCAGATGGCTACGTAATTAACCCCTCGTCATGGGCTACCTTTGGGAGGAAGTTTCCCCCAAAGCATAACTCATCAGTCCATTGAAATTCAAGATCAGTCGGTTTCCAAAATTCTTTCCATTGCATTCTCTTTTTCGACATTCGGGCAAGAATTCGACATCCCATCCGAGGACTGTTGAAAATGTCCAAGTTGCAGGCTGGGAAACGAGCCCTTCTCGAGAGGAGATGTCGAAACCCTTTCCCTGACAGCTCCTGATTTTTTTTTGCATCTCGGATTTCGACATGCTGTGTGGCGAGGAGAAAATGGCGAAAATGCAGTTTTCGACATTGGTGTGGCGAGGCCCTTAGAATAAGGAACTCGTGAAACACAACACAGTTTCTGGGGCAGAGCGCGGGCACAAAAGAAAATTCCGCAGCCCATCTGCTATTTTTCCTGGGGCGGGGAAACTTCGATTTAGCCCCCTCCTGACATTTTTTTTTTGGTCGGCCTCGATTTTCGCCCTTGCTGCAAACCACGTGCGCAATGCGCAGTGCACCGCATGTGTGCAAGTGGAACGCACGTGATGCGCCACAAGTATGTTTAAAACCATACTTGCGGCGCACCGGCACTGTGCGCTGTGTGCGGACCCAGGATGCCCGCCGCACATCTGGGTGCGCAGTGCGCACGTCTGGTGTGCTGCGCGCATGTGCGCAATGTATATTTCCATGTTCTAGCGGTAGATTCATTTGATTTTGTTCTCTCTCTCTCTCTCTC